TGGCGAGAAGAATAGTCACTGTCAGCAGGGGACTGAGTTCGGTCGCGCCGAGAGCGTTTCCGATCCCTGTCCCGCTCGCGGTCTCGGTCCCGGTGGCGATCGCGGTCTTTTTCGCGTTCACGATATCGATCGCGATCCCGGTCGCGGTCTCTTTCTCTTTCTCTGTCACGATCGCGATCACGATCTCTATCACGATCACGGTCACGATCCCGCCGTCTGGAGTCTCTGTCTCTGTCTCGGTCCCTCTCTCGGTCACGTTCTTCTTCGCGGCGACTGGAGCGGTCCTTCCGTGAGACAGACGCTCTGCTCTCCGAGCGGGAGGCAGGCTCCTCTAGGATCCGCGGAAGACGATCGACGTCATGCGAATCTCCGTTGCGGCTCCGACTCCGGCTTCGGCTGCGACTCCGGCGACGGGGTCGATGGGACCGACGTGCATTTCTGCCCTCCCGTTCCCTGTCCCGTCGGTGAGATGATCGTTTAGAATCAACAGACGGAGAACGAGAGCGGCGGTCATCCTCGGCCGTGGAGTGCTCGTCGTATTTGTCTTCTCGACGGGGTCTTCTGGGCGCATCACGCCTACGTCCGCGATCGTCGGCGTCCTTATCCACCGTTGGTGAGCGCTGACGGACGGAGCGGCGGCCATCCACATCGGACGGACCGGGAGATCGCGATCGACTCTTCGGTCTAGAGGGAGACTTGGCTCTTGATCTTGATCTCGATTTCGATCTGGTCCGTGTCCGTGCATCTTCATGGGGCGTTGTTGGGGTTGCACTACATCAATATGTCAGGTTACAATACAGACTGACGAGCCGCTGTACGACTGTACGACTTACCTCTGTTCGCTTCTTAGTGACGCACCTGAAGGTCGTCCCTGAGCAAAGTAGTTCCGTTGTCTTAGAACACTGGTGTTAGGGAGACCCTCACGCATTGCTCTGGGAGCGGCAGGGGCTCCTTCGACCCCCTGACCCCGCGGTTCCTGCTGCATGTTTGGGCCGCCCATAAAAGGGGCGCCCCCAAACCCACCTCCGCGGCCACCTGGAAATTGTCCGCGCATATAGCCTCGTCCATAGCCCATTCCCATGTGGCCAGGCATGCCCATCGAAGCATTGGGCATCGTTTGATAATGGTTGGACTGATCGAGACTGTCGATAGTAGGGATCCCTCGCAATTGGGTTTCCTCTTCCCCAGTATTTCCATTGGCAGTGGGTCTATCTGCAGATATAGCCTCTGCTGCAGTATCCCCAGAAGCTTCCTGAGAAGAAGCTGCCTCGTTTGACGGCGTCTGGTCAGGTTTAACTTGTCCATCGCCGGATGCAGTCTGGGCCTCGTCGGACCGCCTTTCCGTGGCGCTGGGATCGTCCTGCGATATTCCAGTTCCAGCGGGGCCACCTTCCTGCGACTGGCCTGTCGTGTCTTGATCAAAGTCAAAAGAATTAGGGGTTTGGAACGCTGCGTAGTTAGCATTAGGGGGGTAATTAGCCTGCATATGCCCGGCAAAGCCGCCACGACCACGACCGCCAGGAACAAACCCACGGCCGCGGCCTCGGAAATTGCCTCTTCCATAACCGGGGCCATAGTACCCGTTCTGAAAATCTTGGCTAGGGAACTGTTGTTGCTGCATTTGAGCATGAACTCCGTTGGGTTGAGACATATTATATCCGCCAAATCCAGAAGGACCCTCATACTGTGGGCCCATACCATTTGCGAAAGCATTTGGATTGAATTTATCTTGGCCTCCATTCCACATATTGTTTTGAGAGCCGTCCCATCCCCCATACATCCCTTGACTAGCGTCGAAATTCATTCCCATATTCATGCCACTGTTCATGCCATTCATGTTCATCCCGTAGCCTCCAAGCATACCCTGATTCGCGGCCATTGGGTCCATTCCCATACCAGACATTGCTGGAGTCATCATGTCAGTGCCTGAATGTTTTTGAGAGACAGATGAGGAGGAACCTACCCATTGGGTTGGGGAAGTTGAACATGCCGTTAGCCATGAACTGGGCCATGGGATTGAAATCGCCGCTGGCGTTGTTCCAAGCCATATTTGGAAAGGCGCTGGGTCCCATGTTGAATCCCATGGCGTTGGGGAACATTGGTGTCGGGCCTTGTCCCTGTGGCATCCCTTCATCCGCGGGTTGGGGGAGCTGGGGCTCTTCCGTCGCAAGTCCTTCGGTAGGTTTGTTTTCCTCTGTAGCCTCATCTGCCTGACCTGCCTCGGCCGGGCCATTTTCTGCTTGCTTGCTCTGTTTCAACGAATTAGCCATCTCCACATACATCGAAGTAACCATCAACAACGTACTTCAATAGAAGGCATGGGTACTGCTGCTTGGTTTATATCTGTCACGTTCTCAGCAACGGTGTCCGACGGCTCTGCACCGGTCACAACAGCAGATGATTCGTCCCTTGCGACATCACTACTGTGGAGTTTGCCCTCCGGTATCTCCGCCACCGTGTTGCTTGCAGGGGCTTCGGACACGGCTGGTGTCTCCGACTGAGCCGGAGTCACATCTGCAGGCGTCACTCCATTCGAGATCGCAGGCGTAGCAGATTGTCGCTCCTTTTCGCGTTTCTTTTCTTCCGTGCGAAGAAAGGCTTTGAGGGTCGTTCGTAGAGCTTTGTTTGGCTTGCATAGGTCGGAGGAGATGGGAGTATGTGCGCACACGGGGCAGGTTTCGGGAAGCGATATCTGGCCTACAGGTCGGACGGTCAATAGATGTAAGGGCTAAGGTCGTTCGGGACTAGCAGGTGCGTACAGTTCTCACATATGGCCTGATCGCAGCAGGGCAAGCGGAACGCATTAACGGCAAGTTTGTTGCAGATAGCGCATCTCAGCTTGAATGGAATTTCATCCTGAGTGAGGGAGCTGATGGGACAATCGGCATTAGATCACGAACATAGCCTATAGACTTCGGTTACCACAGCATGCACTCACCTTGCGATGTCCATCAAGCCCGCAGGCTGGTCCGTCACAGCCATTGAGAGTGTTCAGAGCCAGTCGATGGTAGTAATGAACGTGAAGAATCGCGCAGCACCTGGGCTTACGACCGGCAAACAGAGGCCAAAATGGCAATATCAAAGATCACGCCTGAGTCCACCATCAAGATGAGGTAGTATCCATCTCAACGGCTCCGGGAGCCAATATAGAGCGTTGCCTTGTAGAGCAGTCTATCTGTTGACCAAATTTGGTTGGAGGTGAACCTGAGGTGGTTGGTATGGAGAAACAAAAGTCCGGTCATCTTTTGTATTAATATTTTTTTCCCGCATCCCGATTAATTCTATGTGTCCCACTTCGACTCCCCACCCAGACTTTTGTAGAGACTTATCTGCATCTGCCATACGGAATAGGGAATAGAGATCATACAACATGTCAATATTGAACAATAACATGAACTATCTATGCATATCAACTGGTTGCAAGCTACTACTGCGCTAGCCTTGTCGTCTAGCTGGCTTCAATTCCCATTATGACTCAAAAAGGCTATAGAAGGTAGAAACATCGTTGGGTAAGGCTGTTTGCCCGCCAGGCTACCAGAGCAACAGCACCAACGACGCGCCATCAGATTAGATCAAGTAATTTTCGCCTTCATCGACACGGAGGCACGTTCGGGCAAGATCAGCGGCGATACCACTTGGTTTCTGCTCGCTAAAACTCGCCTTTCCTGCGTCTTGGGAGCTCTTTTATCATCATCGGCAGTCGTGGTACATGTTGTTAGCAAGATCGAAAGGAATCTTTGTTGTTTTGAAAACATGCACATGCGACTACATTGGGACATGGAGGAGCAGGAAAAACATCAAAGGAAGCAAAAACCATGGAATCCTCCTATAAGGCTGTTGTTGGATTAGTAGTTGCATCATCGACAGTAACTCAAAGGACAAAATCACGGGCTGAAACCAAGCCCAGCATAGAAGGCCCAATCAACGCGCTGTCCGTCCGAGACGCCTTTATGGGCGAAGTGGCGATGAGAGGCTTGTTCAAGTAATCGAGGATAATCAGAATGAATACAGAATAGACCATAAAGCAGTCAGCCACCAGAAATGAAATCAGGACAAAAACAACAAAGTAAATGCATGAAGATCAGGGGGAGGGTTGATGCAGAAAGAAATATTCGAGAAGCCTTGGTACAGTGAGTTACGAATTGGTTTAGGCTGTCGATGATGGCTGGGGAACAGGATCACAGTGGATGCACAAATCACAAAAAAGAGAAAAAAAAAAACCTAAGGCATTCCACAATTTTAGCGCCAGAGTGGAAGGCGGGCGCAGGGTTAAAAAGGGCAGCTGCTGCCCCGGAAGAAAGAAACCCGGCCTGTTCTTCTGATACCTGTTATCGACACGCGCTTTTCCACCCTTTGGCACACGCACCCCCAGGACTTCTTTCCCTCTATCTGTCGGTACTTGGTGCTGAAGAAGCTCGGGCCATCCGTGGCGCGCCATCTAAACATTTATTATTATTTATTATCATCCTTAGTATTTGGGTGCCCGTCGCGACTGTCATTCTATCACCCCCAATCCCAAGCCATTGAGGTCTTGTAAGGGACGCGGTGATATTCACTTTGCAATTGCTTGACGTCCTTTTTGTGATGTATCTACTCGAGTCCCGTTATATGTCCTCATACATATACGTGAAGTCAACTTAAGACGGTCCACGGAAACAAGGTACTACTCCATACTGCAACTATACGCCCCAAACTCAACCACGGCAGTGTCCACATACACAAAGGGAAATAGCCATTGCTAAAGCATCTTCCTAGCAATGACAGATCAGGATAGCACCTACAGACCCCGTTCACCCGATCTTTCCACCTTCCAGTCCTCTATTCCTCCCGCCGTTAACTCCCCCATCTATCCTCTCGCGAGTCCTCTGGCACACCGGGCTTCCTACGACTCCTCACCTTTCTTTACCCCGCAATATCAGCAACCACCGGCCCCGCTTGGTCGGGTCCCTCAGCAGTACATACCACCATTCATAGACCCGAACTCTCCTCTTTCACCAGACATGGCTCGTCGATCCTCCCGTCTGGCACGCGCGACCGAGGTCGTGCCCATGCCAGAGGTCGCATACGCGCAGCCAGTACTCTCGGAAGAGCCGCAGCAGCTCCCACCGCCGCCGCCGCAACCCAACCCGGTGGCTAGCATTGAGGTGAAGACAAAGTTTCCTGTCGCGCGTATCAAGCGTATCATGCAAGCAGACGAGGATGTCGGAAAGGTGGCACAGGTCACTCCTATTGCTGTCTGTACGTGTATCCCGCTTCATTTCGTCCCTGCGTCTCTCGAACTTGTACTGACTGCTATCGTCTTATAGCGAAAGCCTTAGAACTCTTCATGATCTCTCTGGTCACCAAGGCGGCCAAAGAAGCTAGAGATCGCAACTCCAAACGCGTGACCGCGTCGCATCTGAAACAAGCGGTCGTCAAGGATGAAGTTCTGGATTTTCTGGCCGACATAATTGCCAAGGTTCCCGACCAACCTGCCGGTGGAAGGAAGCATGATGACGATGGCAGCGACCAGAACGAGCAACCAAAACGAAAGCGAGGCGGGCGGCGGCCCAAGGATGATAGTGATTAAGGCTTGTCTTCAATTTTGGGACATGATCTTCTTTCATTTCCTCTTTTTTTTTTCCTTCATGAACGACTTGATGGGTGATATCTTAGACGGGAATGGAGAGCGGGCGTATACTCATTTGGCGTTATGCTGGTACGCATGGTCGGGCTTGCATCTATTTCTGTTGATGTGAATAAGTACTTTTAGCTCTGGTTCATTGCCGTTGGTTCCAGGATTTGGGTTCATTTGTCATCTCAATTTCTTTCTATTATCGCTGGGCAGTGCCCACGCGTACTGTTGTACCTCATTGGCTTGCGAGGATGCAGCATGATTTCTGACAACTGTCAGGATGGATGATCGATAGTTCATGAACCACATCAAGAGTATAATCATTGGGCCAGAAGTGCAGACCTTCGTTGTTTGTCCGAATGGTGCGTCTCGATTGCGCGTAGTTGGAGACTTGGAGTACATGGCTCTATACCTGAAGAGGACTCGTGGGTCGACATGCATAATCTATCCCCTAGGACGTGACTGCGCTATTCCCCTTTAGGCACTACTGTTGTCTCAAGCCCACTGCTCCTCCATCCTCAGTCCTCTCTTGACCAGGCGATTGTGGTCGACGAAGGATATCAGAAGTAATATGCTGCTGTCACAGAACGATGGACTTTGTATGTTCCGCCTCCTGACTCTCCGTCCCTTGACATCTCGACGGATTTCTGTCGCGGCTAACAAATAATAGTGGTCTCGTCTAATTGGCGGCTCCCGTTCGCTGTCAACCAAGGGCTTTCGTGCTACGTCGCCCACTGAGAGATTAACAGCTTTCAAGCAGACGTGCAATACTCTGCAAGTAGGTCTTGTTTCTGTCGGCGTATTTAGAAAAGCGCGAAGCTAACCATTCCACCTCCTTCGACAGCAAATATGGCGTTCCACCACCACCCCGTCCGGAAACCTATCAGCTGGAGCTCAAGCGCGCACCTACATTGAACGGCTGAACTCCATCCTGAGCGACGAAGCGCGAGGTCCCGCCCCTCACCCATGCCTAGCATATGCTGCATCCTCCCAGATCTTTGTGACCATCACGAAAGTCACATTATCGTCTTACGATGGTGGCCAGATTGGCACGCTCCGGGCCGCGGCTATATTCTTTAACACCCTGATCGATTCGGAGGTAGATGGCGTTGTTGACAACCGGCTGTTTGCGCGGGCTTTGGTGGATTTGGTCAGACGTGCAGACAAGCATGACGAGGATGTTGAAGGCAGGCTGGTGGAACTCTTGTTTGGTGTCGCCAATAACATTCGTTTACAGCCTAGCATATTACCAGCTTGGTTTGCTCCAAGGTCCGACGACCTGGATAAGGAGAGACAAGCCAATACGGGGACGGAATTTGCTGGCGCGACAAGGACAAACGACTTTCCTTTATTTTACCTGTTGGTGCAATACGTGCATCATGCGGGCAGGGCGGGCGATTTCGCTCGCACGGGCCTCCTGTATCTGATTGAAACAGCGTCCAGGTCCAAGATTCTGGAGAGATGGTTGATCGAAAGTGATCTTGCGACTCTTATGGCTACGGGTTTAGGCGCGCTGTACAGTCAGCTGGGCAGGTTAGTAGGCGATCATGTGGCTCGACTGAGATCTGGTCCAGACTAACAGATATCCTAGCCTGTCATTTGGTACGACCGAAGAAGAAAACCTTCCACATATCGTCGCGTTGTCGGACCATGCAAGACATGAGAGCGCCCTTCCGCCCCGGCTCGATTCGACCATGGATTCGTTTATGTCGTATCTGTTGTTCTGGCAGGACACGATCGACCATTGTAAATCTGCGGAAGTGAATGGCACTCTTTTGGACCATTTCCAGGTCTTGTTTCTAGAGCAACTTCTGTTCGTTCCCCCTTTTGCAGCATTTCTCTCTGATCTTCCTGGTGTTTTCTGACTATGTTAGGTACCCATCGCTACTGGAATCATCCGACGTGGAAGGTGGCTCTACTGCTGCAGTGCTCACCTATCTACACCGTATTCTTGAGTCAATCGAACAACATGACCTGGTTCACCGTATTCTACATTTTTTGCTTGCGTCTCCGTCCGACTCACAGCCTACGTCAAAAGTGGGCATGTCGTCCAGCCGACGAAAGTCTCTGGACGTCTTGGCTGCCTTTTCGGAGGGAGCGGCTCGACCATCTCCATCTCTCTTCAACCTCAGAGACCTTGCACTTCTTGGACTTCAATCCACCAATCGTCAAACAGTGTTAGCTACGCTACGTCTGCTGACGGTTGTTTTAGAACGACATCAGTCTTTCGCCCGGTCCTTGGTCCGGACGGATTCAGGTCAACCTGCTAAGCAGCGAACCGTTGGTGCACTGAATGCCGAGCTCGCACAGCTCCTGGGCTTGGCCACATCGATTGTCCACGACCCCGCGCTGAATGATTCTTTTGAGAATTACCTGAAGGATGCCTCCTGGATATTGGAGGCGCGTCTCAGTATGTTACCAGCGGAATATGATCTCGAGGACGACGGACCATTACAACTGAGAAAAGATGATCCCATCGTGCGAGAACTGCTAAACCTGCTGGGCACGTTTTTCACCAATAGTGTGATAGTGAACCTGGCGTTGACAGAAGTACTGAAGAGCATCGCTTCCTCGCATCTTGTATCTCTTGATGGGTGGCTTTTGGTCGATCCGATGAAATATGATTACAGCGCTGCGCCTACAACGAAGAGCGATTCGACCCTCGAAGTATTGGAACAAATCCAGCTAGCCTATCACGAGCCCAGCTGGTCCAGCACCGATGTACCCGTGCTCACCTGTGTCCTACACGGACTCGTGCAACAGATACAGGGATGGCGCAGGGAGATATCGGACTTTGATATACTGATTGCAGCTCGGCGCGACTTGCTCCACCAAGAAAACGATCCGAGGCAATCCCCTAGCCGGTCCCGACAAGCCTCTGAACCTCCCACAGGTGGTTCCTCCGAGAGACCAATTGCACGAATGGGACAAGGGGGGTCTGACTTTGGATCTCCCCGCGGAAGAGCAGCCCGACCCTTGGACGTGCAGAGCATTGCATCCACACCACGGCGCGCTGCGGCTAGATCACCAGCGCGGGATCCCTCTGTACTATCTGCCGCTACCCGGGAATCGTCCATGACCCGGCAGTCTGCTGCAGAGGAGCTGCGCAAGCGATTGGCCGAGCCTTTTCAGGTGAGGTCACAGCCACAGCGGCCCCGGAGAGAGACAGATGATGCTGGAGACGTCACAGAACCAGCCGGCGTCCATACAGATCGCTCAGAGGACGCGATCATGGACAATCCATCCGAGTCACCATCACTGGGACACGTCCTGACTAATACTGTTATCTTGTATGAGTTTCTCCTGGAGCTATCGGCGATTGTACAAGCACGGGGAAGTCTATATGAAGAGGCGGGGTTTCCAGGAGTTGACGCTGCAGCCTGATAGTAGCCAAAATTAGCTGGGCTGTGCAAAGGAGTTGTGGGCAGGTACCACGACTGGAACAGGATACCCATTCATTTGTTTTACACAGTACAGTAGAGAATAGAAGGTACGGAGTAGTATTGGACATATATACGGAGTATTTAAAGTTCCTTTCCGTTCAGTTATAGGCCATTGCTGCTATTCCTAGCAGAGAGATATCTCCTGTCCGATTTCATTGGATATCCAGGACCAATTTTATAGATGGTCCTCCAGCACATCCCATTGGTGCCTGTTTATGCCTAAGGCCCACTATTGTCGGGCACTAAAATGACCCCTGAATTTAGTCGTGTGGGCAAAGCGCAGTTCCTGATTGGCTAGTGGCACGTGCCGGCTTGAAAAATGCAGTCAATCTTTCCGATTTCTATCTAAATTGTAGATCGACAAATTATTTCAGACTTCAAATCGGACAGAATAGGGGAATAAAGCTGGAGAGAGAATACCATTGTGCCATTGGGCCTCGATTGCGTCTGGAAAGCTGGATGATCGGAGTGAGTCTGACTGTAACTTGGGTCAGAAATAGGTTGGAGATGGTCTTGATTCAGAATCCTGGGGCTTCGTCATCCACTTCGCTTGTCCAGCTCAACCATTCGCGTCAAAAGGGGCTTCCAGTCTCCTATTGATTACAGGTGCATTATTAACAACTTGGCCACTGAGCTATGTATATAGACTTACAGTGGAGCTCTTGTCACGATGGCCAGTGGCTTGGTCCATACTCCTTATCCTACTATTTCAATTTGATTTCCGGTCTCCCAGCTTCCAGATCCCTCCGGCTTCTGCCCCGCTTCCTATTCCCCTGTGACCCTGTCAATTATCAGACCTGTAGGCTACAACTTATCCGATTCGACCAGAAATGATGTCGACCTAGTCATCATCTACGTAATTGCGCTCTATATACGGCGCTCAAGTACAGCTACGGACTACGGTAGCGGAGCACATCACCAATTGCTACCACGGAGTACAGGCAATGGTCCGCCCCAGCCATGGCTGCCGATGCCCATGATCCTCTCGACCGCGAGGACGCCCCGTTTCTCGCTTCTTCCCCAGAAAGCAGCGCCTCGAGCAGTCGTATCGGGGACCAGGACGACGAAGCGGAACTTAAGCATGTCTACAACGACAATGAGGCCGAAGACGATGACGTCGACGACCGCAAGGGAACCAAAGCAATTGAGAAAATCCGCTTCCGCTTCATGGTTACCCTCTTTGCCATGATCCTCGCGTTCGAGGTCGGCATCGTGATGGCCAATGGGCCTATGACGCGCATCTACGAGTCCATTGCCTGTCGGCAGTACTACGCCGAGTATGACCCGCGTCAGATCGCGGCCGACGGGCAGGTCGCTGAATCGATGTGCAAGATCAAAGAGGTGCAGACGGAGCTGGCGGCCGTGAAGGGGTACATGGAGTTCTTTGACGGGGTTTTGAGTGCGTTTCTGGCGATTCCGTACGGTCTGCTGGCGGACCGGATCGGGAGGAAGCCGATTATCTGTTTGAGTATTCCGGCGTTTGCGCTGAATTCGGGGATCATGTTTGCGGTT